TTTTTTTTTTTTTTTTGTTTTTTTTTTTTTTTATGTAAAAAAAACATCTATCTGTACAACTCTTTTCTCCTCCCTCCTCTCTGATAGGGGGGGGGGGGGGGGGGGGGGGGGGGGGGGGGGGGGGGGGGGGGTGGAACTTATAACCGGACTCAAATAAGCGTCTCAAATTTAAACAAGGTCTACAGAAATGCTGATCAAACGTTGTTAACATCGAATTCATGTCTCAAGCAAGAGGGGGGCTTATAGCTTTCATATGTATTTTTTTATTTACAGGTAGATTGCCCTATAACTAAGGGGGAAGGGGTTAAAAGCAGAGAAACATACGGTATTCCCTCTTTTATTAAGCCCTCCTGGGGATCCTCAAGACAAAAATGATCATTTTTATTTTGATTCCTCGTTTCTAGGACTTTGACTCAGACGATGCTGCCCTGGTTGACTGCAGCGTTTTCATTCTTTCTGGCATGCTCGGTAAATGGCCTGGACGCGGTTTTAAACGACACGTGTGCTGGTCAGGCTGATATAAATCAAGTTGCGTGTATGATCCAGAAACTTGACATAAAACTCGGCTCACAGAGCTCAAAGCTAGATAAAGTCATTCAACTTTTACAGGGTAAGCTGGGTAAGCTCTCCTCCCAGTATGGCCAAAATGAAAAACGGTTATTGCTATATTTACGCCCATCTAAAGATGTGTTTCAAGTGCACTGTTGGTTAGAAAGAACTGCGCATGCGGACCCAGCCCCAGAGTGGGTCAATTTATTCCTGCGGACCTAAAGCCTTATTCAGTTTCTTCTTACCCTCGGCTAATAGAGCTGGTAGAGGTTTCTTCCGGGATGGTGTTTAGCATGTACGGAGTCGTTCGCGGCGCTGACCTCTCGAAGTTTGGCTTTTGTACGTCTCTCGGGGACGGAAATATGCCAACGACTCCTTACATGCTAAACAACATGCCGAAATGCAACCTCTGCTGACAACTTAGCCTCTTCTGAAGCCATTTGAGCACAATTTGAACCAAAATACCCCTATTAAATGTCTGTTCCAACTCAATATGGGATCCATTTAAGCCCGACTGTCAGAATAAACCCTAGAAAATTGGACTATATTGGCCTTAGCAAAGAAGCCGACTTAGAGTGTATTTTCCTTTCCAAAACCGCTCCAAATTCGGTACTCCAACAAAACTTTTGAATTTTTAGTGTGTTAGATGTTCCTTTCTTTTCTAATTTGTCCGGGATAGTGAGCAAAACCGACTGAACCTCAAGTTCTAAGAGTAGAAAATAACCAAATTTTCCCTTCAGGCCTAGCTGATGCTCTCGAAATGATAACTTGAAGGTGTAAAGGTGGGCGTATAATCTGTGGAATATGATCTTTCGGGTTAGAGGACCAGGTAGAACTATTTACATATTTTTTTTGTTAATAACAATGTATTTTTAACAGTCCAGTTCGCTCAGGCTCTACCACAAGCCCTTCAGTGCGCCCGCGTTCCTTCGCGCACTCGAAAACGAAATTAAAAACGGTTTAGACGCTTGACCGCGTGGGATACTCCCTCACACGGCTTAAAATCGACCCCAGTTCGCTGGCGGGCTAAAGGCGTCGGATAAACAGCTTAGACTATATATGGTAAAGTATGTAGAGACTCGCGATGGCTGTCAGCTTAATTCGCCATCGGTATTTACCACAGGCTCAGCAACTTATATTTATCATTAAATCTTGCACAATTTTGTTTTGCTTCAGCAAGATAAAAAAAAGTTGGTTTCAAATCCTACGACATTTGATAAATTCGTGACTCAATAAAGCTTTGCAGATGACTATAACTTCAACGTACGCCACTGGAGCGATGCTTTTATCTTGATAAAAGTAAGATGAGACAATTGTGGTGGCTTTCTTCAGAGACTAGTAGCCTAATAAGGTACCAAGGGAACAATTTCAAATATCAGTCTTTGATTATGATAATTAACGTTCCCATTACAACTACTTTTTCAAAAGTGTCATGTGACGTGACGTTCCCTCACGTTACAACTTTTTACATTTAGAATGACCATATTCTAATATTAACCTAGGCCCCAAAATTTGGCGATCGTTTTTGCGAATATCTTCTAGATGTTGAAAGAAACGACGAAGACGCATCCATACCAGTTTTAAGCTCGATAATTATTCCAACCAAACATGACAGTCTGCGGTCTCTCTCTTCACCAAGGCAACACGAAAGGCAGCCTGCGAACAGGCTTCCAAGTGGAGAGGGGTGAAAATAAAAAAAAATTCGCCGAGCGAAACGACACGAGCGTGGCCTGAGAAAAAAAAGCGGGGAACCTGTAGACTTAGCTTTGATGTCGCCCATTCGCCCACTTACAATTATCCCCCTCGCAGGGTAGGGGGGGGGGCGGGGGGGGAGGTGTCTCTAAGGAAATATGTGGTACAGTCCGCCTGCCGGTCTCGCGTCAGTGACTTTTCAAAATGGCGAGCACAGTGTTCATCTAATTGACGGATAAAAATTTCGATTTTATCACGGAAATACTGTTCCGATTTCTTGGAATTGGCAATTTTAAGGTCCCTATTGCCATGGAAAACTAGACTTAAGTACTTTTTTGGAATGAAATGTCCAGCGGTGTAATGAATTTTAAAGATTCCTTTCTATCGTCGAGCAAAGTTTACGGGCAATCATACCGACCGGTCACTTTTTTGAGGGCCAGTGCACAGCAAGATTTAGGAATTTAGACACAGCAATAGGAGGTACATCAAAGGATGTATTATACTCTCAGTTGCGGGTATTTTCAACTCTTCAGAGCTGGTGGAACCCCACATCAGTCTTCAAAGTTCGCTTAGCTGTAGCGTTGAAAGAGGAAGCTAATTGACAGGTATTTGTGAGAGACTGTGAGCAGTGAATCTTGTTGCTTTGCCGTATTTTAATACTGTACTGGCGGTGATACACCTGTAATTCTTTAATTAAATCCCCAAAACGAAATAAAAGGTTTTAATTATTTGGGGGGGGGGGGGGGGGGGGAATGTGTGGGGTGACGGGCAGTGTGTTTTTTTGTTTGTTGCTTTTTTAGTATTAGTGCGGGGGTGGCAAACATTTTTTTTTTTTAATAAATCCCCAAAAAAAAAAAAAAGGTGTTTTGTTGTTGGGGGGGGGGGGGGGGGGGTCAAACCCAGTGGAGATTTTAGGGTAATAATATTGATGATTAAGACGATGTACAAAAGGGAAGTTTAAATTTTTTCAGTGGGTCACTGGTGGGTGTTGGGTGCAAATTAGTACAGTTTGTGGTGTACTGTGTGTTGTTTGTCATGATGTCAACTAACATTGAAAAAAATTCAGCTCTTTCAGAGGAATGACATGTCTTGACAACTTACGGTTTTTTTCTGGTCGTAAGCTTGGCCAGTATGCAGATCAAGAGCTTTTAAAATCGCTTTCCCAAAATAAAACTCCGGACTTAAGCTTAAAATATATATTCAGATCCAAGTGCATGACCAGCAGGGTCAGCAGTAAGAATAAAGGAAAAAAGCCAAAAGGAAAAATAGTGTTAAAAAACAAAGACTAAACAACAACAAAAGAAACGGTACAAGGAAAAAGAAAACAGCGTCGCCCGGGGAGTCGAACCCGGTTTATCTGCACGTGCAAGCAACTTCTTGACCACTGCACCACAGTGACTAGTCTGTTACACAGCCGTTTTTCTTCTTCTTAGAGTTTCCTCGACCTCGCTCGTCCTAATAACTGTCGTATCCTTTGCTAATTTGCACAAGCGACCCGAGGCTCTTGCCCGTTACCATGTGACGTCATACTGGCAGGCGGAATGGGTCAAGAAATCAAGAAACTTAGGTGGAAAACAATAGAGTTACCCCCCCCACCCCCCTGTGTTACAGATATGTTAATAACATGCAATAAGGTAATTAGACCTGTCAAATTATGATATTTTTACTCTTGAATGCATGGGCTTCAATAACATTCGTGGCTATTTTGTCAATATTCACAGCAACAGTCAGCGATCTGACCAATCAGATCATGATGCCATAATCTGATATCATGGATGGACGGCATTAAAACAAAGTGTGCAGGCTCCCCCGCCATTTTGTTCTCTCCCAGGCCACGCTCGGCTTGCTTCGCTCGCTCATTCAGTCTTTTCCGCCCCGCTCCTCATGGAAGCCTGTCTGCAGGCTTCACGAAAAGCCTCAAAAATCCATAGCATATCATAGCGTAAAACAGCACGGGACGGGGAAAAACATGACACATTACTCAGGCAACATTTTCTTTGAACCTTTATTGAACATTTGCGCTAAAATCTGCATTTTGGAGCAAATTATAGCCATCGTATCGTTCATCTGTATTCAGTCTTCCATGAAGAACGAAAGATCTATGCTCATATTTCAAACGGCCCCACCAACATCCAGAGGATGGTCTGCCTGTACTGACGTCAAAGACGTTAAATGTTGCCTTCCATTCTAACTTCCACCCCTCCCTCCTTATGTACATACCAATACTTAATACTTACTCACTTTCTTACATACATACTTACTTATTACTTACTTATTTACGTACTATCGATACCTACTTACTTACTTACGTACTTTTAAATACTCATTCAGGTGGCGGACAATCGAGTTGCAAGGAAATTTTTGAGAAGGGATCGTGAGTACATCATAAATAATTAGCAACATTTCTTGTCACATTTTTGGTTTCGTCATGAAACAACCAACCTTTTTAGGTTTTCATAGTATCTTTCTTTAGGTTCAACGGCTTTCTTCGCATTTAATATATTAACCAGGCGCTCAGATTAGCTGTAACTCCAGTGCAAATTAACTACGGCACGCGAATGGCGCATGCACGTGCAGCACATGCATGTGGGTTAATGTTGTCTAAGTGGATAAAGGGACTCCAATGGTTTTTATTAAAACAATTAATAAGGGCTGCAGAGTTGCTAGTAAATGCGGTGCTCTGCCTATTCAATTGTATTTATAATCCAGAAAGCCCTTCGTAATTTTTCGACTTTGAGGGCGGCGTTCTTTCAAGTAACTACGGTTGTCTTAAGAGGGACTTACTACATTATTTTGTTGTCCATCTGCTTATAACATTTGAAGGCTTTATTACATTTGAGGTGGCTTCAACGGCCTAATTATAACTATCCGTTTTACTGCTTTCCGAGCGGGTACATATAATTTTTAATTGAGGCCACACTATGCCCGATTCGGCTGGTGTTACATTAACTTGGCTTGGCTGTTGTAGATTGCTCCATAAAAATTTTTCTGTCCAACGAGTGATCAAAAGATTTTTATATTCTATTGTTATATTTATTCCTGTTTTCTTTTTTCTCACTATTAAAACTCAATCGTTTATTGCATCTGATAGACAGTCATTTAATTAAAACATTCAAAGAAAATAAATCTTGCTTTATTGCAGTGCCTCAAACAAATATCATTTAAGTCAATATCTATTTACTAGGATGCGTGAAAACAAAGCCTACTTACTGAATGTGGAGTCTGAAAAAATTCCTGTGTACTGTCATATGGAACGTACAACTCAGCTTGAAGCATGCGGAGGAGGCGGATGGACGCTGGTCATGAAGATCGATGGCAAAAAGGTAGCAGCAGCAAAAAAACAACTTTATTTATTATTCATTAAAAATATATTGCACATGGTCATGATTGGCTTCAGTCCATCGACTAATTCTTCATAACCAACCGGCGTTTACCATATTTGGAAGATGTAGGAAATATACATGATCGATTCGATGGTAAATTGCCTAATAATTAAACCCATCAATCAACCTCGTTTCCAGCGTCGCGGCAGCCTAGTTGCTTACGCCTGAGTGAAAACGAGGCGCTCAGGGCTATCCAAAGACAAAATAGCCGAATTTCTGAATAATACTCAGCCTCATTCAAAAATTGTTAATTTTTATGCAGTTCTGTCACCATCTTGGCCTGCGAAAACATCCGTTTCTCCTCGCTATTCGCCGCTGGGGACGTTTCGCGCGGAGGAACGTTTGCGACTTAGAGCGCGACAGAAATTCCATACTAATGACGTAAAATCTGTCCGGACAGAAGCGCTGATTGGTAGACGGAGTAGTTACATTGTTTTAGCTATTGTTTGCATGCGAATGACAGACAAGAGACAAAAGGCCACAAAGGTCAACTGTAACACAAAGAATCTCTAACAAAACAGTCAATATTTGTGGAATATAGTCTTCTCTAGAAGAAGCATTTGAGTTTCGCTGGAGCTCGTTGGCAGATGAACACAACACCTTACCAAAATCGACCAGAAGACACGTAATATTGGACAAATTTATATTTGGAACCCCGTAACTACCGGATTTGTTATGTAAACATTGATTTGCGTCACCAGTATGGGATTTCTGTCACTGAGTCGCAGAAATTCCTCCGCGCGAAACGTTCCCAACGGCGAAGAGCGAGGAGAAACATATGTTTTCGCAGGCTATCACCATCTCAATAGTCCCTTTGCAGCAAGTCACTCAATTACGTGATTCGCTTTGTCTCGACCGCTCGTATAGCCAGTCATATAATAAAGCCTCCTTTTAGCTTCACTAGTAGAACCATGATGGCGGTCATTGACTATCATCACGACGAAATGTTCAGAGGAATCCCTTGCCATATAACGTCGTTAATACCGTTGCGTTGGTATTTGTTACATTATTTAAGGTCTTCTTAGCCTAAATATTCTGAAAACTGTATGTTGAGGGGGAAGGAGGTTGGATGTGGTTGTTCCCAGAGCCCAGACGACCAAATTGAATAGTCTTGAACTTTTGGAGCACAATGTAACCACTGTGATGTCAAATGAAAACGGTTTGTTAATTGACGATATATGACTATCATTTTCTTCTTTATCTGCTTAGAGAACCTTTCACTACGATGCGAACTTGTGGACCAACAAGAAGGATCATAATCCCTCTGCAGGAAAGATCCTGTTTGATCATCAAGAGACAAAATTACCCACTTACTGGAGCACACCATTCTCTAAAATCTGCCTCGCTATGAAGATCGGCCACCAAGTTAATTCGATCATGATAAAAAAACAAGCCGACTCCTTGTATTCCCTGATCGCTGACGGAAACCATCGTTCGACGTCACTTGGTCGTCACACCTGGAAGAAGCTGATTGGCCAACAGGCATCGCTACAGAGAAATTGTAACCAGGAAGGTTTCAATTGTAAATCCTATAGCAAAGCAAGAATCGGTATCATAAGTAACGGAGAAAAGAACTGTGATACCTGTGACTCCAGAATTGGGTTTGGTGCTGGGGGATATCCTGATGGTGATGACAACACCTGTGGAAACTGGGCACGGCATGGTGGGGACAATGGCGATAGGGACATAAAAGCCATGGGTTACATCTTGGTGCAATGAGTATCCGAACAATCTGCTTCCAGTTCACGACGCACAATGATTAATGGGACTTACAACGCTTATAGAAACTGTAGACTTATCAGTACGCAATTAGTTTAGGTCAGGACCATTTGTAGAAATTCAGTTGAATAGACGCATTGCTTCAAACAAACAGTTTCTCTCTGTTTTCCTCTGTCTCGATCATTCCTGGCCGTACGGTCGGGCCGTTCTGTGAGCCACATTAGTGATTAATCCCTAAGTAATGCCTCTCTAATGGGTACGGGCCGCGCATACTGCTTTCCCCACCCCCCTCTCCACTCCACACAGACTTCCTTCCCCGAAAAAAGCCTAATAAAAGGTCACAACTACTCTAAATCTAAACTTCACAAAGATACAGCCGGTCCTATGTGTAAAAGAAAATTAACAGCCCGCAAGCAAGCTAATCTAAGTCGTCAAGTTGAATAATTGCACTGCTGGTCTGTACTGAGTTAAAAGGATACAAAGCAGTCTCGTTTCTGTTAATGATAACTGATAGGGAATTCAAGGTTTCACGATGGCAATGACAACAATAGCGTCATGATAGCGGGGCTCCCACCCGCTTCGCTTCCCATACTCATAGAATATGGTCAACCTCTTTACCTTTGGTTGTCACGTGATTGACCAAGCGTACGTACGTACGTACACGTCTACAGATTTTTACGGGTGGGGTAGGGGAGACTATCAAAAGGAACGGAGGGGTGTCTCAGGCGTGTCTTGGCAAATCCACATCTTCCTGCCATACGGTACGCGCGTCTAAAATTTGAATGAGCCAATCAGAGTTTAGTAACTAGTTGAAACTAAGTTTTCCTACGTCATCTGCTTTTCCCTCGCCCTGATTGGTTAGAATGATGGCGACAGTAGATAGGAATTATATGAAGTAAGGCGCGAAAAAATACCGTAAAATTCCGAAAATAAGCCCCGGGGCTTCTATTTTTCAAAGGCCCTCTTTGAGGGGCTTATTTTTGAAGGGGCTTATATTCGGAGGGGCTTATCTACGGAGGGAAATTTGCGTTTCAAAATCGATTGGGCTAGCCTTATAGTTGGAAGCAAATTTACCGTTTTTGCTTTGTTTTACTTTGTATTTGAGGGCAATTTCCAAGTACAAGCCCCCGGGGGGCGTATATTTGGAGGGGCGATTTAATGGAGGGTTTTTTGCGTCACCGGATTGGGGGGCTTATATTTGGAGGGGCTTATACATGGAGGGGCTTATTTTCGGAATTTTACGGTATTATTTTTCAACATTTCTGATGGCGGAAACTAATTTTTTCTTTCCTTGCTAATTTCCCCACTTCATAGCGAAGTGTATCGGCTAATGTTGTTGTAAAAGCATGTTACAATGTTTCATGTTCAACTGATAAAGTGGTATTTTAAGATCGTCATTAGTTCTGAAAATATAATCATGCTTAATAATCAAGTCTGAAAGCGTCCTTTCGCTATTTTGCAAGTGCAGTTAGTAGTAACCAGAGTAGAAAATGCAATAGAAAAGATGCTTACACTATCTGTAGTTATTGATGCCTTCAAAAAGTTGGTTATAATCTTCTGTACACCTTTCGCAAATCATTGTTTGGTATACAGCGACTGGGCTTTGCATCGCCTTGTATAGCTCATCAGCCAGACTTAAGTTAAGATGGGATTCACCCTGCGCATGATCAGGAATTGGCCTTTCATCTGATCGCCGCAGTGTCCATAATAAAGAGGTTAAGTTTATATGAATTTACTCTATGGGGTCGAGATTTAGTGTCCGTTTTCCGTATTAGAGAGAGTCGGTATTATAGACTGAGGCTTTTTAATCATCAAGAAAATATATGAGAATTTTGTCGGGACATTGGAGACTGTCCGTAACAGAGAGGTGTCCGTACTCGGAGGTTAGACTGTACTCTATTTTGCTTTGTTGCCTGTTGTTTTTAAGGCATTATTTGCTGTGGTATGTAAACCACAGAAAACAAGACAGGGTGAATCCAGTGTTCATGCTAATGTACAGGCATGCATGAAGCCTTTTTATCTCAGAAGGGTAAATGATCACTATTACAGTATTTGAATATATAAACTTATGATATTAATAATTATTTTAATTCATTTTATTGCCATGCAGATCAGGGCAGAACTGAGGAGAATCCTACAAGAGCCTGATGTAACAAAGGCGAGACAAAGCGATGTTGCGCGCTTTACCACTCATGAATCAAACCTGTCTTGCAACAATTAGGCTGTTGAAGTTTGCGGAAAATTGTTCCAGAAAGTAGAGAGGAGTTCAACCCTTTGCAACAAAATCTGTACATGTTGCGTGTTTTACCGGCCAAGGTAAACTTTAGCTTGGCAGCAAGTGACTAACTCTCGCGGTGTATGGCGTAAATTACCAAACAAATTGTAACCAAAAGGATTTTAAATCTGCGACATCGAGTAGCACAGCAAGAATTGGTATCCTTAGTAACAACGAAAATGATTGCAATTCGTGCGACTCCAGAATTCGGTTTGGTACTGCAGGGCATCTTGATAATCAGAACGTCCGTGGAAACGAAGCACATTCTCCTCCAAACAACGGAGATAAAAAAACACATTAAAACCATGGGCTACGGCTTGGTGCAATACGTTTCAAGCCAAACTGTCCGAAATCTTGGTCACCCGACAGCTGGACTTCAATAAAGCAGTGTCTTTTCAAACGTCAAGTAGAAAATGTTGTTTCACAAAGTAACAACCAAAAGCCAATTGCTTTGCAGGTTTTTCGAAATGATTTCATTAAACATCATTCTTCGTCAGAAATAAAAAAAGTGTCGTTTTGTTGCACTCCATCTTACTAATTATTTATTTGTTCAGTCTCGCCACCCTCAGGCAATTCTTCAAGCCGTTTAGCAAATTAAAAATCAGTGCTTTGCTCTAACCCAGTGTTTCTGTCCCTATATAATATTCCCTGCACGCAACTTGAACGTGCAGCCGACAGGTCTCTTTCTTTGTTAAAATCGTGCGCTAATGGAAGAATTATTTTGCACCACTATGTTGTGGAGGCTGGAAATTTAAGACGTTAAATCGTACATGATTATGTGTATTTCATAATTTCATTCTTTTTCTATAATGTGAATTTGTATTCCTCTTAGACACTGTTTTGATTTTTGATTTTTATTTTTAGGAAGTTGATTCATGTAGGGTCCCCCTCTTTAACTTCCTTTTCAGGGTGTTTTTGTATTTTTATTTTATGATACCTTGAATAAAGTATGTATCTTATATATAGCAGTCTTCATTTAGGACATGACACAGCTACCCATACTCCTTGCACTAAAAAAGAAAGTCACTAAGATGAGTGCATGAATGGATTATAAATAACGGCGCACTAACGCTACATTTCTGAGTAATATGTGAAGTACGTTTTGGTGAACAGCAATCTTTTGTGTTTTCGTCTTTAGTTAGCGAATGAATCATCCAAAGACACCAAATAACTTGCAGCCGTCGGCTAGCTAGGAAGCTTAAACAACGACGACGGCGACGGCAACGAGGACGGCAAAAAAGCAATAGGGTTAGATTGGCAAAACAACAACGTAACTCTGCCCTTGCAACACGCTTTTTGGTACATTTCTTTGCAGTCGTTGAACGTCTACGACGTGAAACATCCTAATTTCACGTTTTATGGAGGACGGAAAAATAAGACAACGATTTTCTTTTTCTTTTGTGAAGTTAGAAATAGTCCTTTAGAATCCAACTCCTGAAAAAAAAAACGCCAACCTATGACAAACTAGAAGTGTTGGAATAAGAGCAATGAAATTTGAAACAGCGCGAATCCTATTTTTGGGTGATGTTTTCTATGCCGCTGCCGTCGTCGTTGCCTAAGGTCCATAATTTGCTTCGATCAGAGGGAAACTACTGCGAACGCGACTGAAGAATGCAAAGCACTGTTAGTGAACTGCGCTTAGTGCGGTCTTAAACTGACAATCTTATTGCAGGACTGCGATGTAAAGCATGGTTGAAAATGCGAAGAGACAACTAGAGAGACTGAAAAAGGCGCAGATGAAGTTAAAACGTCAAAGAAACGATAAAGAGGGGGTCACAACTAGAGATTTACGCAATGATACTATGCGGAAGGAAGAAATCGACTAGTTGCTATAAACAGGGAAAACGAATAGTGAAAAAAAAAATCGGACTCAAACAATAGTAAGAACGCAGGCTATTCCACCGTGCTCTTAGTGAAATGCCTGCAGGTGGCCGAACGGTTTGAGCGCTGGAGCTCTGTAAAGTCCTGTCCTAACCGCTAACTGGATTTTTTTGGTCAAAAGTCCCGAGTTCGGCGACGCTTGTGAATAGTCAATTGGATTGCCTCCCGCTCCCCTCTCTTTATTTAATAATTCACGAAGAGACGAATAAAACAATGGAAATCACTACCTTTAGGGTAGATTGGATATCGGATCTTGATATTACCATTTTGCGAATTTTGCTTTTCCATTCCTTTTTATTTCTTCAAAAATTATAGTTCATTTGAGACGTTATATATATCAAACACGACCACCCAGTTTTTCATCCCGCCGATATCTAGACATCGATATTAGCTGCGTGTCGTTTTTCAACGCAACTTCTCGGTGTTTTGATATCATAAAATGAACAGAGTCGAAACTAGTATCCGACAACCAAGTCGAACTCAGTCACCCACTGTAAAAATTTGCTGGTTGGACAATTGATTGATGGTCATTCAGGTGCACCCAGCGATCATTTTCTATAAAATGTCTGTTCGGAGAAGCAAAATAATATTACCTATAATTTTCTATCACTTGAGGACGGCTATAATTTTCTAGATGATCGTTCTATTCACGTACAATTTTCGAAGCCTATCTAATAGATTCTCTATGATTTCCTGAAGTTTAATTCTTCACATTTTATTCCCCAGGTTAGGTTATTTTTGTAGAAAAAAAGAGGAACCCTAGGGAGAAACGTTTCATCTGAAAGCTGTATCGATCCAATATGACGGGACATTATTTAGTTTACGAGACCCTTCCGTTAATTTCCAGGGAGGAAAACCCTTCGAGAACCACCGACCAAGAAACTAAGAGAAAGATGATCGTAAGAACCGCGGTAAGTTAGCCTAGTTTGTACCCGTAGCCATATGACCCAATGGATTGTCATTCACATTCAGTCTTTAAGTGTCTGAAGTGTATCA